GTGGCAGGGGCATACAGAGTTCCACATTAGCCGGTGGCAGGGGCATACAGAGTTCCACATTAGCCGGTGGCAGGGGCATACAGAGTTCCACATTAGCCTGTGGCAGGGGCATACAGAGTTCCACATTAGCCGGTGGCAGGGGCATAAGGATACTGGAAGATAGAAACCTGTCTGTGAGTCCACTGAGAAGCTTACTGATTGATATTTGCTTCTGTTTTTGGGGGGTTTCGTGTACCCCTGACCCTCTCGCACTAAAACAATTAAACCAATAAAATTCAAGGAAACGCATTGAAGGATTGGCCTGTCTGTCTGCATGTCGCCATTGGTGGAGCTACAACGCAGGCCACGAATAGGGAATCCAGTAGAGCCCATTAAAATCCAGCAGCTCCTTCGGGGGTCATTGCTGCAGTAGAAAGATACGGGTGTTCGTGGTTTATGTCCAGCTCACAGGAAGTGACAAGGACGCTGCGTTTCTGGCAGGACCAACAGCTACTTTTCTGTACTTCTTTGATAAGAGAAAGCAGCCGCCACATCTAATCTCTGGTAAGCTGCAATATATGAAGTGCTTGTGGGTTCAGTTACCCTTTTGGAGTCATGTGATCGTTGTCTGTGGGGGGGTCTTGTATCCACGTCATGTATCCCCAATGAAGTAACATTGCAGTCTATGGGGCCTCACATACGGGAAGCTTTTCATCCGTGCAGAAATCCCCTTCTGCACACTCCAAGGCTTCTATAAACAGACAATCTGCATCCCGGAGAGTCCGGGAATTCCCGCACAACACTGGTCCGCTGGGAACATTCCAGCACAGAGTTGTAGGAACTTGCCAAGGTTTAGATCCCGGCTGTTTGAGGCGCCGAGTCACGTGACAACGTCCGTTATCTCAGCACAAATATTATTCTTGTTTAATGATGAGAAAGTGAAGCGCAACGAATTCCGACATCACGGGCCCCATTCACAAGCTTATCACACCGGGATAAGGGATCTTACCTATATGTTTGAGGTTTGAAAATTACAGTCACATGACACTTGGAGTAGAACAATGTGTCCAGGATGTATCTATTGCGTGCAGCTCGTCTCTTCCCATTGCCGCTATTGCTGGCAGTTACCAGCTGTCATAATGGCAGCCGGGACTTGTTATGTGTTACAAAGCGGGAGCAAAAAATGCAGCTGCCTCTGTGTACAATGACACCTCCAGATAGTCTACAAGAGACATTGGGGGAATGCAATGTAACAATCTAGAGTTACTATGTGTTTAACCCGAACTGAGCTCCTGGGTCTGTACACCTGCTGTGCCCATTATGAGGAGCTCCCATCATCCCTGTGCTGACTTCCTGGGTCTGTACGCCCGCTGTGCCCATTAGGAGGAGCTCCCACCATCCCTGTGCTAACTTCCTGGGTCTGTACGCCCGCTGTGCCCATTAGGAGGAGCTCCCACCATCCCTGTGCTAACTTCCTGGGTCTGTACGCCCGCTGTGCCCATTAGGAGGAGCTCCCACCATCCCTGTGCTAACTTCCTGGGTCTGTACACCCGCTGTGCCCATTATGAGGGGTCCCCACCATCCCTGATGGATTTTATCTTTATTTTGTGTTATTGAGAATGTAACAGGGGGAGCTGTAAATCAAAAAGGTGGGCGGAGTTACAGAGGTGGGTGGGAACATGGGGGTGGTTGTATGGTGCTCTGTCCATCATTCAACCTGGTAGACTGGGGACATCTAGTGGTGGAAAGCAATAACTGCGGGGCAGCATTAGATGAAAGGGAAGCGTTCATTTTTACTATTGATGGGCTATTCATTTTTATTTTAGATGGAATATCTTTTTTTTCTCTCTTTATAACTTCCATCTAATACGTCTCCTCTCACACTCCCAGATATTAGAATCACGGATGAGCTATAATGTGGCCTTTGTAGAGGACTTGATGCCTCCAGTAATGATGAATAACCTTGACATTCTCCTTCATCTCATTAGGATTCCTGTACATGTGATTGGACTCCCGCGGGACTGAACTCCACGTTTTCATGTATTTATTTTTTGTTCCCAGCAGGGGACCAGAGAGGGTGCAGAGGAGAGCAAACCTGGACTGATCGATGTCTTTACAAATAAAACAGATCCCAAGGAACAGGTCTCCCTGGCCCAGTTCATCAAAGGTAGGCCACCTCTTCATCGTCCAATCACAGAGTCACTGCGCATCAGGGAAATACGATGCGTCCAGGCGGGTGGTGGCGGAGTGCAATGTACACAAGAGCCTCATTTCTGCTGCCAACTTCATAACTTGGAGTCAGAATTGTTTACTTCTATGCAATCATGCAGATGGTGTATGTATAATATAGGGATGAATGTGCCCGGGTTTTATTCACGTAGGGGAATTCTGTTTAAAATTCGTTGAACTTGAACTCAGTGGCAAATTCCATGAAACTCTATGAGGGTGGAATCCTGATATTAAATTCTGGACATTTTCTTTTCAGGTTGAGTGTATTGTAATGTAATACCACATAATGGCCACTAGAGGGAGGAGAAGAGCAGAGGATATAAGTATTTATTCCCTGTGTCTACTGGCCATAATGTGGTATTACATTACATTCAACCTCAAAATAAAATATAATAAAAACAGAGCAAATAGCTCTGTGAATTGTATGTAAATAGACACTTATGTCTGCTCTGTGCCCCTCCTTATATAGTGAGGGTGGTGGTTTATCCAAAAATCCCTCATATTGTCCCTTTAAGCCTGCTGGCCATTGATGAAAGGCTATGCAGTCCATCCAGTACTCCCACCTTCATCTCTCTCCTCCTTTCCCCTTACCTTCCACTCTCTCCCCTCTGCTCTCTACCCCCGCCCTTTATCTGCCTCCTCCTTTCCTTCCCCTTTCACCCTCTCTGTCCCTTCTCCTCCTTTCTTCTTCCCTTCGGCTTACCCCCCTCCTCTACCTTTCTTTCTCTCTCTCCTCTCTCACCCACCCCCCCTCTTTTTTTCTCTTTCCTTCTCTCCTCCAACTCAATCAGGAGATGGAACCATTTGATGGATCTTCTCATGTGACACAATCACTGTAACTATGAAGTGTAGATTGGGATATTTCGAGTGTCTTCCCCCTCCACCGATCACATGAATTTCCCCCCCGAGGAGGAAGCGTCTCCTTGTACCGTTCCTTCTCCTCTCACCACCGGACTATTCCTGACCTGCACGCTCTGCGTTCTGCTCCCCGGGGAAGCAGCACACTTCGTTTGTCGCAGCGGAGGAACTCTGGGCGTCTTCTGCACCGACCGCAGGTGGTGCCGGGGGTCCCTCAGGACTGAGGTGTGAGGACTTTTCTAGTTTGTGCGGGAATCACTCAATGATCACGTCCGGCTGTTTCTTGGCTGCGAGTGTCATTGTCAGAAGGTTTGTATCCCGCGGGGTCCTACCTGTGACGCCATTAGCGTCCGGGGGCCCCGGGAAGGGACATTGTGCGTACCAAGCTGACCGCTTCTTGGAATTTAGATGCCGTGACGTGATTTTGATGGGTGATTGTAGACAAGTGGACCTGTGCTGTGTCCATGCTGGAATAATAGGGGCTCCTCCACTACACAACGAACATACAAATGCATTTTTTAAAAAATTCTGGTTGGCGCATGACGACTGACGCGTTTGTTATTTATTGCACTACATCAAGATGCAGCACGCCTAACTTTAAGAAGAACCAGGGTAATGAATATCACATTAAAAGATAATAAAGCATCATTTGCTGCAGCGCTCACCATCAATCCCAAGCTGAGACCCGCAGTACTTCTTTTCAGGCAGGTGCCAGGGGTCGGCAGGGTGCTTCCTGAAAACTTCACAGCACCCTGCCCCAGTACTCCTCTCAAGAGCCCTCAGCCCTGATGCAAGCAGTGGGCTGGATCTTGGGAGAGGTTAGGCAAATATCGAAATTGATGGGCAGGTCTGGACGAGTGGGCGTTCCTTAGCTGGCTGTATTTGCATGCAGGCCGCCCTAAGTAACACCCATCAGCACGGTCCTAAGTAGCTGTGAGCACCACCACCTGCGCCATGCCAACTCAAAATATTAGCGTATAGTTGGGCAAATGCCATTCACCTGATATTACCGCCACTAGGTGGAACCGAGGAAATCCCAAGCTGGCATCCTCAGCATGTGGGGTTCTAAATTGGTTTTGCAGATCGAATGCTTGTTACATAAACAGCACCATCTAGAGGCTGAAAGAGAGAAGAACGGCCCGCTGTGGTCGGCAGGGTGGCGAGGGATGCAGGAATCCATCTTCATTGTATTGGCTCGGACCAGCCAGCAATGCAGGAAGGTCGCTTAGATCCTCCTCTACTCCATGTATTAGGATTTCATTGTCATGTGAATGTTGATACAATGTATCGTCTCTGCTGATGTATCACACCTATCGCCCACCTTTTATTTCAGTCTTCCCCAAAGTCTTCTTCAGGACGTTGAAGAACCCCATTTATTTGTTGGTGGTTTTGGCTCAAGCCAACCTGTCGGCCATGGTGTGCGGACTGGCAACCTTCATGGCCAAGTTCCTGGAGAGGCAGTTCACCATCACCGCATCCTTAGCCAACCTGCTGATCGGTGAGTACCGGAGCTATGGAGGATGGGAGGGGGCGGGG